TTATTATTATTATTATTATTGTTATTGTTATTGTTATTGCTATTATTATTAATTATTGTTGTAATATTATCATCATCATCACCGTCATCATCGTCATTGTTATTATCATACATTTGTCGGTGTTATATAAAACTTATGTACATCAGTTGTAACAATCATGTTAAACGGCTATATCAATGTTAAACGCGGGAAATAAATTGAGAAATAGAATTAAAATGATTTTAATTTAATTTCGGATTAAAATGGCTCTAATTTAATTTGGAATTATCTATTAGCAAAAAAGCATTTGCTTACAATGAACAGCTAAAAAAAAGTATAATTATTACAAAATTTGTGACTGAAAAGCATTAATAAATGATTTTTGAAATTCTATGAATTATAATAAACAGATAGTAAACACAAATTTATAAACATTAATGCATTGTTTGCCCAATAGTTTCTATAATTTAAAAAATTGTCACTATATAATTCACAAAGTTCATTTCGTTTGTCCTTTTCGTTCTGTTTTTTCCTTTTTTTGGAAAATTTGAAAATTGGAAATTGGAAAATTTTGAAAGAGCTAGTCAATTATATGATTAATTTTTAGCCATTATTTAAATTTAATGGTTAAGAATTGAAACATTACATGTTAGACTAATTAAAAAGGAAGCCTTTAAATTTATATTTTTGTTAATTTTATATTTTAAAAAAAAAAGTTCTCGTTGTTGCTTTACTTTGTTATTTGTTGGTTTATTTACTTGGGCGTTGTTATTGCACAAAATATAACGATAATATTTGTAGCAATGACAATTTTCAAGCTAAACTACTCAAATAGTGAAAATAATTGCCAATTTATCATTCTGTAGAAGTAAAAATCTTATGATATTTCAACAAGTTAAGTAATTTTTATAATTACTTTTGCTACAAGTACATTTCCAATGATTATATCAATATCATTATTGATAATAAATTTATAAATGCTACAAACATAGCAATTATATGCCAAATTTTGTGCAAGAATGCCAAAAAAAATGCAATTATACTAAGCATGCTAAACATCTGACTTTTCATTCTTGTATTCTCCTCCATTTCTTCGCTAATTTCAGTTTGAATCAGTCAATTTATAAATTTCATCTGTTCAAATCCTCAGATATTCAATATGAAATATGATAAAGTAAAATTGACAACATCAATAATATCACAGTTCGTCAAATTACGATTCACAAATGATTTTTTTTTTTTTCAATTGAAACAGTTTTCAAAAAGAAAAAGAAAGAAATTTCAAGTTGCAAGCTTTTAAATGTATGACGTAAGAAATTGAAATTAAAATTGTCTGGATATTTTAAGACATGATCATCTGATGGGTAATAAAGTTGTTATATGCTTCGAATACGACCAATCATTGAGATATCATGTTGTGTTACGAGCAGAATCAATGATAGCAAAAGTTTTAATTAATGGATACATTTTTTTTTTCACGGTTGTTATTAAAATTTTAATTTGAGGAAATTTGAAAACTAATTATTTGTTTTGATATACATATATATCGATGAAGATATTTGTCCATGTTATCTCATCAAAAGTTTCAAGAAAAAAAATGGGATAAATGAAACGATAAATTAGCTTTGAAATGTTCCGCATAAAAAAGAAGCATGTAAATTTATGGTTAAATTGAACATTTCAATAATATTATTTTATGATAGCTTAACGTAATTTTTGGTAATTCTTCAGAAAAAAAATTCATTATTTGAAATATCCATATAAAATATAATCAGATACTTAAATAACGCTTAATCCTTCGATATGAGAACATATTTTTTACAAGAATATCTTATTATAACTTCAATTAGTTAGCTCTAATTTTTTTAATATTATTCAATTTATATGCATTTTATTTGTTATCTTCGAATTTTAAAAAATTATTTATTTATATAAATTTCATGTAAAAGTGATTACCCAAGGAGCACAGCACATTGTCAAAATTAATTTCAATTAATTCTTCAAAGATTTGATCGAAATATTTGGCAAATATTCCAAAAAAAAGAAAAAAAAGAAGAAAACGAAAAAAAAAATTATCTCAACAAATATTCATTGCATTCAAAAGCATCAAAAAAAATTGCTTCATATCTGGCAAATAGTTAAATTTTTATCATTTTTAATAATTCAATAATTATCCAAACTATCATTCATACCAAAAAATGAAAAAAAAAAGAGAAAAAAATATGGTAGAAAACTTTGGAGTGAGAAAAAAAAAGAAAAATTGTTAAAATATTTCATAAAGTCTTAAGAAAGTAAAAATTCGTCGTTAATGAAGCAATTCAATAATTCATTTACCTTTGCTGCATATCATATCATTAATGAATGTGCATGTTTAATACTTTTAAGGTGAAATATATTTGAATATGTCACATGAATATTTGTGTTATATTTCCGATTGTCACATTCTTTAGTATGTCAAATTTAATAATTATGAGAAACTTGTTTATTCCTTAAATTATATGTCAAATTTTCTATCATTGTCAAATAAATATAAAATAAAATAAATTATTAATTATCGTATGAAAGAAAGTAGTATAGCTTAGGAGAAAATAAAAGTTTTATTAAAGAATGAAATCAAGTTATTGATTGATTTCATCGATTATACAAAGCTGTAATGGAATGAAACAATATTGCATGAGCATTGATGAAAGTAAAATAATCAAATATATGCAAATTTAGATGACGTCAAGAAAAATATAATAATTGGAGAGATTATTTGTTAAAAATTTACTTTAATAACCTAATAAATATCTTCAAAATATATCCTGAAAAATTTGATGACATTTAGCCACTTAACTTTAACAGTTATTAATTGAAATGTTACTTGAGGAAAAGAGATTCTAAAATTCATTTACATTTTTTTTAAAAATGTTGGATGAAAAAAAAAAAATTCTTTGAGGTGAAAAAACGAATGAACACTCCGTTAACTCTAGCAAAGATAGAGAGAGAGAGAGAGAGAGGGAAAGAGAGAGGAGAGGGGAAGGGAAAGAAGAAAAGGAATGGAGAGAAAGAAAGAGCATAAAATGATATTTTGAAATTTATGTAATATCGGTGCATTTTTAATAAATTATGAATGGAAAACTGCCAATAACGTAATTGATAGAAAATGAATTGTAATTGTTATATTTTTAATATTCATTGTAGGTCCGATTTCCAGTTCTTTAATATTTGTTCTAATTCGAAGTTTAAATGTGTATATTTTTTTTTCTTGTTAAATTTTAAAACATTCAATTCATTTCAAAATAATTTTACGATAGAAAAAGAAAAAAAAAATGGAGAAATACTTAAAAGAACACATTATTTATTATAAATAAGTATAGTAATCATAAAATTTCATAAAGCTTTTTTTAAAAGGAAATTATTTTTGATAGGTGAAAATACTGTTATAGTAAAGCGTAGTAAAGCAAAAAAAAAAGTTTACAAATATTTAAATTTACTTTGATTCATCATGAAATGCAAGGTAATGAAATTTTTTGGACTTTTAAAAAGACAATAATAAAAAACAATTAGGTAATCGGAAAAAAATCAAATTCAATTTTTAATTTACACGTTGCAATTTAACTTAATTCAAAAATTGCTCAAAAATTTGTTCACAATCATAAATCCCTTTATGATTGAATTTTAACAGAATTAAGCATATTATCATGCGGGAAATTTTTCGAGGAAATTTTAAAAGATTAGAATCAAAAAAAAAAAAAAAGAATTGATGAAACAGAAAAATGCATACCATAGCATTGCTGTTGAAAAAGCATCCAATTAGTGTTGCTTTGCAACGATGACAATAAATTGGATGAAGAAAAATCAGGAATGGCAGCGGCAGCAAAAAAATTGGCGATATGTTGCGGTAGGCCGATGGTACCAAATAGTGCCAAATAGTTCATCCAATATAGTTGCCATTGGGCTGGTGTTAATGATCTGGCCAAAGAGCATAGCCATTGATCCCAGACTAACGAATTTAATAATTCTGGTATCAGATCAGATGCTATTGATAATGATTGTACTGGTAGCGATGTGGTTGTTTCGGGATATTCGGAAGAAATTAATTGTGGATCTGTTGGTAATTCAATTCCAATTAAATGTATTAATGATGCGGTAGGATGTTGTAGTGTTGATTCAATCGTTGATTGTGAAATTTGTGATGGAGCAAACTGTTGCATGAATAAATTATGATATCGACAGGAATTTAGCAATAAATTATTGGGTGTGGTAAAAAATGAAGTTGATGGTTGTGGATCAGATGGATAATTGAATTCCTCTTCCGAATTAAGTAATTCAGTATCAACCGGATACATCATTTGATCGTCTTCATCCATTTTTTGCTTTTTGTTTTATTTTATTTTGATTAAAATAACTATTTAGTTGAGGAATCTGAAAATTTTTGATAAAAAAATTAATTATTAAAAATTACTTCTGACATTTGAAAAAATTCGAAACAAAGAATGAGAATTACAAGTCAAATTAACACATCATAAGTAAAAATGATGAAAATAATTTCTAAATTACCTATCATATTTTTTTTCAAAAAAAAAAAAAAAATTTAGATCAAAGATCAAATTTCCAATAAAATGAATTGCAAAAAGTAAGAAAAAAGTTCATTTTCTTCCATTTTAATCATCCTTTTCTTTTTCCTCAAATTCATCAACATTTCTGAGATTTAATTTTATTCAATTATCCAATATAATTTGCCCTTATGGGTGCTATTTGTACTACAACTTGGATTGAGCAAAACCACGACGTGTTTTCTTCGTTCAATTTACTTGCTATTAACAAATAATTCAATTATTAATGAAAAAAATGGCAAAAACGCAACAAACTAAAAAGAATTCATAAAGTACAAAAATCACTATTATTAGATAAAAAAAAAAAAAACAAAAACAAAAGGTGTGCTGAAAAAGGGAACGAAAATTTCATACATAATAAGCAATTAAATAACTTATTGGATACAATTTCGAATAGTAAATTCGATTCCAAAAATCAATGCACTTATTGATTAGCAAATCATTCCGATCATTCAATCAAACAAAATATGTGTGAAAAAAAAAACGAGCTAATTTCATCATAAATAATTCACTGCAATTAAATAAATTGACATTCTAAATAGAATATATGCATATTTTGGAAATAAATTTCACTACTAATCCATTATCAATTAATCAAATACAAATTTTCAATTACCACTCAAATATTCAAATATAAAAACTAGAATTGATATCATTTCTATCCTGAATATATATCAACGCGGGATGGAAGAAATCAGGAAAATAAAAGGATGGAAAAAATGATTTTCAATAAATCAATCAAATTTATAGCTTTTTTTTTACCCTTGGACCAAAATCATCCCATTTTTCTTTTCTCTCCGTCTCTCCCTCTCTCTCTCTCTCTCTCTCTCACTTCTCCTCACCTTTATTCACCTAATCAATGTTTGATATTTCAAGGAAAAATAGTGGATGAGTTGATTGGATCGGGTTGGCTGATGACATGCAGTCCCAGAAGAGGAAGGGGTTAAAAGCGTGCTAGGCTGTGGCAGTCCTGTCAGTGCCATCCAGCCTTATCCTATCATCCTCTCTCCTACCGTTCATATTTCACTTTTTCTCTCTTAGGGTTGTAGTACCCGAAATCATTGTTTTAACTGACAGCTAAAAATTTTACGCTTATGAAATTATTTTCATTTGTTGCAATTTCATTCTCTTTTTTGTTTATTTGCCTTACATTAAAATATTGCAAAATTTTAAATGGATTTTTTAAAAGTTTATTTCTTCCTTCTTAAAGTTCATTTCGTCTATGTATGTTATTCATTTCAACTGATTCTAATATATTTTTAAAATATCTTTTAAATCTAAAAACGTTTATTAAATGCGGAAAATATCGTCTAACATACGACCAAATACAGCAGAATATATTGTATAACGTCCATTAAATGCAGAAAATATTTATCTAATACGGAATATAAAATGTTTGAAATTGAGGATGCACTTGGATTAATTTAATTGAAATGCAGATGAGAGGATCAAAAATCTGAATATTCAAGAAATAGGGAAAATTTATTGCTTAATTCATACTACATTACAATACTTGCTGCATTATTCTCATAATACTAAATTATTATTTATTTGTGATATCAAATAGGATTGTTCGAAATAACATATTATGCAAATAATTGTAAGCGTGAAGTCCATTTTTACAGTAATTTTAATCTACACTTGCATATAAATTTTGATTAATTTTAATGAAATAATTAACTTGCTTTTTTATTCTAAATTTTGTCAACTCAGAAGAAAGCGAGTGTTGATCAATAAAACAACCTGATTGAAAATTTAATTTTTTCATTGTATTAAATTTTGAAAAAGTAACTGATGATTAAATTATCCTGGATGTAACGTAATAATATTCAATCTATTAATATCAAACGAATAAAAAATTTATACCAAACAATTTGAAAATTGCATTTGAAATACGAAAATAAGAAGAGTAATAATACATTTGATAAAAATTATGAGTTTTTTTTGGAATTATTTCTATGAAATGAGAGATAGGAGGTAAATGTATTTCAAGAGTGGACAATAATCTCTGTTTTATCGCCTTTTCTAAAAGTTCTCTTTTCATTTACAACAACACAGTTTTGCATCACTTACGTATCACATCTTTCTTTTTTGTAAATTTTCAAATTGATCAAAAGTTTTTTGCCTCAATGTTACTGTCAT